AATGGGAATGAGAAAGACAGTGGAATGAATGGGACATCACTTCCCCATGTTCATACATGAATACAGAACATGTTCAACCACAAGAATGGGAAGTTATACTCCGCATGTATGTATAATATGTGAAAATACACTCCACAGTCATAACTAAAAAGAACAAATTTTTTAAAAAAGGAAACTATAAGTAATTCTGAACACAGTCCACAGAAAGCAAAATGCATTATAATTTTAAACTCTTCTTTAAAAATAAAAGATTTATGCATTTCAGTGGGTGGAAATTTTGCATTATAAAACATGATAATGGGGGAGAGAGAGAGTGAGTGGAAAGGTGGGTGAGGCAGGAAGGTTGACCGTTTCGGAAGCTGGGTATTGAGTGCACGTAGCTCATTATACTCTTGTTGCCAAGTTCAGGTCTGACAACTTCCATAATAATAAGAGTGTCCAGCGTCTTTCACCTGTTGGCAGTTCATACAAGGAGGTTGTCATTGGGTGGTGGCCTCGAGAGCCTACAGAGGACTTCTCTTCCATTTTGAGAGAGACCCTAGCGCTATTCTTGTACCTTCTGCCTAAGATGCAGCATGGCTGGGTTGCTCCAGGTCTTTTAATCTCACCTAGAGGTGCCATCCCAGCTTCCAGAGTTGCCCTTAGATGTGGGGTTCCTTGGGTGGCAATGAGATGAGCCAGCTCCTTTACAGAGGTGGAGGTGGGCTTCTGGAGGCAGAGGGGAGGGCAGGGGCTTAACAGGGATCTCTGAGAGCCTCAGGGCAGAGGTGGGCAGCTGTGCTTGAGTCTCTGATGACAGTGTGTGTGATATGAGTTACTCAGAGCACAGGCATTCTAACAAAACTCAAACGTACTGGGATCCTGTATTTTCGTTTGCTAAACTTAATGACCCTAGTTGGCAACCATGTTTAATAAAAGGAATAAGAAATACGTGCACAAGGAGAAAAAGTAGAGAAGTGTTGGGAAGAAGGAGCTGCGGTCGCTGTTGCCTTGCCACACCCACCAGGCTACAGGGCAGGCAGGACCCTGGGTCCTGGCCTCCGCTCCTCATTACTTATGAGTGCCCCTCGTTAGCGGTAGAGGGATCCTGCCCTGTCGTCTGTCCCTGTCTAAAGGAAAGGACCCAGATTCTCCCGTCTCTACCCCGCCCCCCCCCCCGTTTTTCATGGACGGTGAGACCCATGGGTACTGCAGCCTTGGCCCTCTGAGTCCCACTGCTGGACCGAGGGTGTCCCGAGCGTCCTTGGCTCCGTTGAGCAGAGCCCTGGCTCCTGGCCGCGGGGTGCGGTGGAGGCAATAGCTGGGGAGCCTGCGAGGCTGGTCCAGGCCTGGGGTCCATCGTTCATTCCTCAGGTAGAAGGGTGTTCATTCCAGACCCAAAAGTGATGAACAACGTGCATGTCCCTTATCCAGCGAGCTCCCACCCAGACTGGGCTGCCCACGGGGCCCGCAGGAGCCTGTTCGGAGCCTCGGCCTCACCCCCTTGCCCACGCCCTGCACCCTCCGCTCCGCAGGAAGAGGAGGCTGGCCCAGCTTTACCGGCAGACCGCCTGCTTCTCCCTGCTGTGGCGGATCTACAACTCCAATAACTTTTTCCACTACAAGTTCTACGGCCACCTGGCGGCTGTGATGCAGGTGAACTCCGTGCTGGAGACACAGAACGACTTCCAGGTAGGGCGCTTTCCTAGGGGCTCTCAGTCACTGGAGAGGAGATTCCAAGTCAGGAAAGGGTTGGAGAATCTCTGGCCCAGAGTGCCCCACCCTTCTCCAACTTCACACTCTTAGAAATGATCAAGGATCCCAAGTGGCTTTTCTCTATGAGTTGTATCTGTTGATATTATTATAAAACAAAAATTTTGACAATTCAAAAATACTTTAAAATAAAAGTAATAAACACAATACATATTAACATTCTTTTTTTTTCCTTTCTTTTAGTACCAGGGATTGAACCCAGGGACACTCTACCACTGAGCCACAAACTAGCCCATTTTATTTTTTATTTTGAGAGGGATCTCACTAAGTTGTTTACATTCTCCTAAGTTGCTAAGGCTGGCTTTGAACTTGGGGTCCTTTGCCTCAGCCTCCGGAGCTGCTTGGATTTCAGGTGCACCATTGCACCTGCCAACATTTTTATTTTTTAAAAGAATTCTGTTTCCCCAAACAAACAAAATACAACGACGTTGTATTAAAATTTGATTTGGAAAATAGCTTAATGTCTGGATTCACAGAAGATACTAGATTCTGACACCAGCTTCAGCCTTTAATCTGGCGCAGCTTCATACAGGTTACCTCTGGAAACGTGCACAATATACCCAGAGAATGAGGGCAAAAGGGAGAAGCTTAACAGGTGATTCTCTTTTAAAAGATATTTTCAGGCTTTCTGTTGTGCAACCATTTACTTACATTTGCTATTGCTTTTTATGTTTCACAAAAATTAAACATTTTGCCTTTTGTTTAAGGGATGTAGGCAAGAGGGGCCATGGGGCTTGCCTCGGATGCCCCAGCAAATAGGTGGTAGAAACTCAGTTTGATTCCTGGAAACCCATGGCTTTGGCCAGTGACCAGCTTTATTCCCAGGCTTGATAACCCGTGGTTCACTGGCAGGTGCCAGGTGATGTGCCTGGGCTTGGGTCTGGGGACCATCTTAGGCTTTCCCCTCTCCCCTGCCCTGATTCCATTTCAGATCATTAATGCTTACCTGGACTATTCACTCTACCACCAGCTGACTGGCTGCCAGGGCATGTGGTTCAAGTATGAGTTGATGGCCATGGAGCAGATCGTGAACCTCCTGCTGAAGGGCGAGGGAATTGAGATTGTGGCCCTCGTGGCTAGTCGACTGGCCCACATCAAATACATAATGGGCCACCTGTACCTGGCCATTGAGTAAGGTAAGGGCTGGTGGGTGAGAAGGGAAATGAAGACACAAATAATGCCCTCCCCCACACTGGAATTGTTTCCTTCCCAGGCTCTCGAGCCCATAAGTTGTGGTCACTGCTTCGGAATCCCAACAAACACTATCTGGTCCTCTGCAGACTTTGTAAATCGCTCTTCCTGAAAAGCAGGTATTTATCTTGAAGCCTATTTATTTTCCAAAGTCAGTCATATTGCTGAATGTTCAGGGCTCATTTTTATCCTGGTCCATAGGGCCGGACAGGGAGTCCAGTTCCCAGTAAGATGGGACAGCTGGTGGCCTTCTTTTGCCTTTGGATACCTCTGTTTAACAGAATTCATTCATAAGCATCATCTCTAATTTGGTTGCTCTGGCCATGAGACTGATCATCCCTATTTTGGAATCAGGACTCCAAGCCCTGACAGGTGGCGGGAAAGGAAAATGTCTCATAGGAAGGAAAATGCCCAAACAATAGCAACCAGTACTGAAGGCCAGTTTGGCCTGACTATGGTCACCCTAGTCTCAATATCTATGAAAAAACAGGCTGGGGCTGAGGCTCAGTGGTAGAGCACTTGCCTAGCATGTGTGAGGCCTGGGTTTGATCGTCAGCACCACAGAAAGATAAATAAATGGGGCTGGGCCTATAGTCAGTTGGTAGAGTGCTTGCCTTGCATGCACAAGGCCCTGGGTTGAATACCCAACACCCCCAAATAAGTAAATAAATAGATAAATAAATAAATAAAATAATAAAGAAAGAAAGTTATTGTGTCCATCTATAAATAAAAAATGTATATTTGAAAAAGAAGAATATGAAAAACAGATTGAAAAACAAAACAAAACAGATGGCAGTTTGGGTTTCAGGTTTGTTTGGTTTTGTTTTACTGGGCAGAACCAGGACTAGACCAGGGCTCACTTCTCACCATGCACCACTTGGTGATCCTACTGCCTTCTCTGTTCAACAGATACAAGCAGCTGATCCAGGTGCTGGGGTGGCTGTGGGACCTTTCTGTGGTGGAAAAGCACATCTTCAGCAAGGCATTTTTCTATTTTGTCTGCTTGGACATCATGCTCTATTCTGGTAAGTGCAGCTCTGGAATTGAAGAGAAGGTGGGTGTGGCTCCTGTGCTGTGTGGTGAGGCAGCCCTAGGGCTGAGGCCTTGAGACTGCAAGTTTTCAGGCTGCATGGATATGATGGGGATGGAGAGGTTGGTGGCTATGCTGACGAGCAGTCTGGCAGGTGGCAGGATTGTTGAGGAACAGCAAGAAGGAGAATCCCGTCTGGAGGAATCCTTGTCCTAAGCTGTCAGTTACACTCTCAGCTCAGTTTACCCTGGAGCTGACAGGCCTGTCTGGCCATGCACCCTATGCTGGGAGGGCTTCATGTTTACTAGGTTATTCTTAGAGACTTTGTGCTTTAGATTAAAGGACTGAGTTGCTAATGATGAGAGTGGCAGGCACCAACAGCTGTTGGTGAACCTGACGACCTTGAATTGACTGCCAGTGGGCAGTCCTCGGTGAACAGTTGACCAGCAGGATCAGCTGGGGGCTGTTCTCCACACATGCATTTTAGAAAGGGCTGCACATATTGCTGCCAGTCTGGAAGCCTGGCTGGAAAGGTTGGAGAGAGGCCACACTAAGGTCCTCTTTGTGCTCAGGCTAGGAAAGGTTGGTTTAGACTCTGCTCTTGCCTGGTCTGTGCTGTGGAATTGTGTTGTGAACCTATAACATTCTGTGATAGCAGGGACTCAGCAACAGAGCGGGTGTAGGACTGTCGTTCTTGAAGTCCACGGGACCTTCTGGCTCATAGCAATCAGAAAGAACTGTCTCCACAGTGGGCTCTGAGGCCAGCAGGACGAGCACCCCCAGCTTTCTGCCACACTCTCCTGCTGCTTTCTCTTTTAGGCTTTATCTATAGAACGTTTGAAGAATGTGTGGGTTTCATATGCCAAAATGAAAACAACAGAAATCTCAAGTTCCAGAGTGGAATCCTCCTGGGACTTTACTCCTGTGTTGCTATCTGGTAAGTGTCTTGGATGTCACTAAGTTTCTAAGGGGAAACATCTCCTGGAAGAGATCCAGGGAGTATTTCCAGAAGAAAGCAAAAGCCTGTGTAGCTTATACCCGAGTTGGCTGGAGGGTGTCACAGAGTATCCATGGGGAGACATGGAGGGGTTGTCTATTCCATCATCTCAACCAGGGACAGGGACGTGTAGTCTCAGGTGTCCTGCAGTGAGCAGTTGCTACACACACTTTGCTGGAGAAACCAGAAGTGTCCCTGGTTCTTGTCTGGGGATTCAACTGAACCCAGACAGAGACCTGTATTGGGGGATAGTAGTGGGATTACATCTGTACTGAACATGTACATTTAAACAATAAAGTAAACCATATTTACATGCATCACACTGGGTTAGGTCTCCTAAGTCCTCTGGAGGTGACTTTAAGTCTTCAGGACAGGGTGCATACGTTATGTGCAAATCCTGGCCATTTGCTGTAAGGTACTTGAGCATCCACAGGTCCTGTGTGTGGGGAGAGGGGTCTTGGAACCAGGCCCCAAAGGGGAATGAGGGGCGGCCACACTGCTTCTGAGGAGGGTGGAGCCTCCAAACCAGTCATGAGTGGTGCTTGCCCACCTGAACCCACCCATATCAGAGCAGACAGAAACCACGTTGAAGAAGTCGGGGACTGCAGGATATGGCTGCAGGACTCTGTGCACCCTCAGCAGTGGGCAGTCCTGGGACCTGCAGGCCTCTTCCCCCTGTGCAGAGAAGATGCACACCATGCCCAGGCCTGCTGCCCTGGCTCTCAAGATGAAGGACAGAGACAGGGACCCTGTGCACTTGCCTCATTCTTTCCCCAGACCACCAGCCAACTGCAGCACTTCTCGCTGGAGGAGTGAGGAAGCAGGCGTAACCTTGGGCTTCACCTGTGGAGGCTGTCATGTGGAAGGAGACGGGAGGAAACAAGACTCTCTGGTAGCCCACTCCCCAGGACCCTAGGCTCAGTCCCATCTGCTTGCTAAGCCTTTGACCAAGCAAGCCTCCAGTGATGGCCACACCTGTGCCTGATGAACAGCAAGCCTCCAAGATGGGTCATAGCCAAACGTTCCTTAAATTCCACAGCCACCCCTCAGCTCAAAGTCCTTCCAGTCTATTTCCCACCCACCTTCAACTACATGCAGCCACATTGTCCACTAGAGGTCTTGAGATGAGAGTCAGTGACAATATGGAGACATTCTTATATAGAATGTCACAAATCAGAGCAGCTTCAAATTTGAATCAAAATGCCTTCTTATTATAAAATTACTTGGGAGAACTCAAAATTTCCAAATTAATTACCCTTGCCAATTAATGTTCAAAGTCAAATTCACTTGCCATGTGGGTTGAAGTTCAATAATAGTCCAAATGTCATTCTAATTTTTTCTGTTTTGACTGGAGAGTTTTTCAACAGTTGTGTCCTAGGCCAATGGCTCTCACATTTAGTGGGCATAAGAGTCACCTGGAAAAGGTGAGCATGGTGGTACACACCTAAGCCAACCTCAGCAACATGTCAAAATGCTGCCTCAAAAAAAAATCACCTGGCCCCACCTGTCTATTTAGTAGAATCTGGGGACCTGAGAATTCACATTTAAAAGGGGAACCCAGGTGGAACTGAGTTCACCAGTCTGCTTACACCACTCAGGAATGCTGGCTCCTGCTCCTGGAAAAACTGGAGCAGTGTCTTCAAGCCAAGAATTTATAGTCTGAGATATATATATATATTAGAATCTAAAGAAAGATGATGGATAACATTACCTGGGTGCTCCTAAGGATCTGATTCATTTCAAACCATCAGTGAATTCTGTGTTCTCGGGGCTTCGTGGCCCACAGCCTCCTGTGTTTTCAGGCAGGAGGCCCCCGAGCCCCAGGGCTGGAAACTGCACCCAGAAGCAGTGGACAGGATGTGAGCTCCCTGTCCCCAGGGGTGGCTCTGATTGTCTTACTTCCCTGTGGTGTGCAGGTACACCAGGCTTCAGGATTGGGATGCATTCCACACATTTTCCAGCAGAGCCAAACACCTGGTGTCAAGGAGAATCCCCACAGTTCTTTACTATGAAGGAATTGCCAGGTACCTGGAGGGACAAGTTCTCTATCTGCAGAAGCAAATTGAACAACAGCTGGAGAATGCCCAGGACCGTGGGGTGGAGCTGCTCAAGGTGAGGCCAGGGGCCCTGTCCCTCCTCCACTCATGGCCGCCTACTTTCTGGGCCAACCAATTTCTGACTGCAGAATTTACATTAGATGTTTATTTATAATAAATATTTTTGAAGGCAATCATCCTAAACACCAGAAAGAAGAAAGTATGAGCTGCTTGTATCCCTACTATTCAGCGATGATTGCTTTTATGCACTGAGATATCACCTTTCAAGTTCTCTTTGAGTGTGTGCATAAACGTTTCCATTTGTTGTGATTTGCTATTAAACATATTATGAATAATTTCCTGTCATTAAATTAAAACACAGCATAGTGTTTATATAATATTATTATTATATTATTATATTGTATAGCCCAATTATTCTT